TAGTTTATAATAAAAGACATAAAATGTCCTCATGACTAGTCAATGCACTTCTAATAGAAAACAAAACCCCAGTGGTTTGTGACCATAATATCCAGAGAACTGAGATGTTTTGCAGATTTCAATTCACAAATAGTCTGCATGACTTTCAGCAGCCAAATTTTAAGTTACATGGAGCACATTTTATTCTTAAATTAAAATTGCAGGCATGCAAATGCTATATCTATTTTTAAAAGCAATCCCAAAAATTGTGGTCTGTGATTGCACCAGCTAATTATAAAGATGCCAGTACCAATACATAGTGAATTTTGCATCACTAAAACTAGCACATACTGGTTAAACCAGACATATTTTCTGAGCTCACTCATCAGATCACAAGATGTTCATCACAGAGACAAACTTACGTTTTCCTTGATGAGGGCAAGTATGTTTTATTTGTCTAAAGACAGTTCCATAATTCATCTCAGGGCATGAAAGGAAAACCTAGCAGGCACCACTCTACAAGAGGGATGAGCACCAAAGAAAACTGGACGGCAATTAATTTACTTATAATAGTATACTGATTGACTGTTTCATAAAAAACATTAATATCTAAGACATTTAACTCATCTGGAGATGAACTCTAATAGAATGAATGAAACCAAAACCAATGCTTAGGATACCTGGCAAATTCCAGATAACAAATGCTGTCATTTGCTGCCATTTACTGCTAGAATTTATTAAGCATGGAAAAAAAAAAAAAAAAAAGGGAATAGTATACTGATTGACTGTTTCATAAAAAACATTAATATCTAAGACATTTAACTCATCTGGAGATGAACTCTAATAGAATGAATGAAACCAAAACCAATGCTTAGGATACCTGGCAAATTCCAGATAACAAATGCTGTCATTTGCTGCCATTTACTGCTAGAATTTATTAAGCATGGAAAAAAAAAAAAAAAAAAGTGGGGTATGCACTTATTGGAGTTTATTTTTAATTGTATACAAAAGTAAAAACACACAGAACAAATTTTGTTTTTCCTTTGATGGATTTTTTCTGAACAATAGCACCAGCTGTTCACTTCCTTATTAAGAATACTTATGGATCTGGACAAAGTAATAAACTCGCCCTTGGAAAGCTACAAGATAACATATAAGGAAAGACAGGCATGAGAGTAAATCACAGTTCTGTGATTTGTAAGTGATATATACCCCCCTTTCCTATTTTAGTGCTTTCTTCTTCTATTTCCAGCCCTCATTTTATTGTCTTATTTCTACATATCCTGGTTCTCCATTACTCAGATTTTCTCATTAAATAATTAAGTAATCAGGTCCTTGAAGAAAATCTTCTGTTGTTGTCATAAATTTTTTCTCAATTCCAGACAACTGTTCATCCATCTATCCATTCTGAATTCCCTGTGTCCTCTCCTCACCCCCTCTGCTCTGTACAGATAAACTTGCAGTGTACATTCTGGTACTGTTTGGCATTGTTTTCCTGCAGTCTTGTCCAAGTCTGCCACCAGCTATTAAGACCTATATGACACAGTAACAAACC